TATATATCGGCTTTGAGAAAGTTAATGACGATAATAATGAATAATATAAAATAAAATACTGTATATACTCGAGTATAAGCCTAGTTTTTCAGCCCATTTTTTGTGCTGAAAAAATCCCCCTCGGCTTATACTCGAGTCAGATTCCCCTCTGAAAAAAAAAATGGTGTGGAGTCGCGGCCTCCGGCGGCAGCGACTCCCAACAGCCCCAGCCGGGAAGGGAAAGGCAAAAAGCGCTTTGCCTTTCCCTTCCCGAGGCGGCGGGACTGGGGCCGCGCCGGCGGTAGTGACTCCTGACTCAGGGGGCCTCCGAGGGAGGGGAAGAGAGTGACTCCTGCCTCCCGCTGTCATCATCATCTTCTTCTTTTGGGTTAGTGAATCAATTAAACCTTTCATGATAGTGAGATCGTTTCCCAAATTAATTATTTTTATTTTTGAAATTTACCAGTAGCTGCTGCATTTCCCACCCTCGGCTTATACTCGAGTCAATAAGTTTTCCCAGTTTTTTGTGTAAAATTAGGTGCCTCGGCTTATATTCGGGTCGACTTATACTCGAGTATATACGGTAGGTGGTAAGCTGAAAATGGAAATAATAAAGAATTGAAAATATAAGTGAGGATGAAATGTTTTTGATATTGAATGAATTGAAATATGAAGTGAGAACTTATTTAAAGATCAGGGGAATAGATAACGATTTGATATGAAATTAGATAAGTTAGAAATGCAATTATGACTATGTATAAATGTTGTAACCTGGAATCACGTTGCCCACTTGAAGAGTTATGTAAAAAAATAAACTTTATAAAAAATAATAATTTGGAGAGCCCACGAGTAAAATGAGATTGCACCATCTCTGCAGGGGCTGCATTTTAACCAGGCCAAACCCAAAGCCTTGACCCCAGGACCCCCCAGCCTTGAATGTTCCTGGGGGAAGTTTCCATCCAGCTGAGCCACGTGGAGAATGTCAGAATCATCACTTTCTCTTTAAGTTGGGCATTCCCCGATGACTGGACAGGGCAGGGAAGGGGGCACCCGGTGTACACTGGCACAAAACCTGCCAGCCTGGGATTAACACGCCCAGCAACTGGTCTGTGCAAGACCGCCCAACCCACAGGAGGAGCAACGAGAGAAAGGGGTGCCTTACATATTTTGCACACTCTGCCAGGGGCAAGGATCCCGAAAACCATGTCGCCTTTTGCAAATCCCGGGGAAGCTACCCAACCGACGGTCCTCGCCCGAGCTCTGCCTGCTTTTGAGTTCCCAACATCAGATAACAGATAATCAGAGTTGGAAGGGACGTTATAGGTCATCTAGTCCAGCCCCCCGCCGAAGCAGGAGACCCTACACCATTTCCGACAGATGGGAGTCCAGTCTCTTCTTGAAAGCCTCCAGGGATGAAGCTCCCACAACTTCCTAAGGCAACTTTTCTGTTTCATGGGTTGATTGCTCTCCCTGTCAGAAAATTTCTCCCTATTTCCAGATTGAATTTCTCCTTGTTCAGCTTCCATCCATTATTCCTTCAGGAGCCTTGGAAAATAGTTTGACCCCCTCCTCCTCGCTGTGGCAGCCCTTCAAATATTGGAACCCCCTTCTCATGTCTCCCTGGTCCTTATCTTCACTAGACTAGCCATGTCCAGTTCCTGTAACCGTTCTTTGACATCATAACTGCGCGTTTCAACGCCTGTTGAATGTGGACACAGTGCCCACATTCACACAATACACACGAAGGTTGGCAAGTTTGGTTGTCTGGTTTGGTTGGTTGGCTGTCTTGGGGAAAGAGAATTTTAGAGTTTGGTCCACTCGTAACTCAAAGCATTGTCTTCAAACTTGGCAAGTTTAAGATAGGTGGACTTCAACTCCCAGCACAGCTGGCTGGGGAATTCTGGGAGTTGAAGTCCACCCGTCTTAAGCTAGCCAGGTCTGGAAAAAAAACAGCAGTCAAAGGTGGTGCAAAATTAAGAATTTGGGGTTCAGTTTGTGTTGTGTGAACACAACTTGAGAATTTAGGCTGCAGAAAGTTCTATGGATCGATTGAATTGAAAGCGTATATCAAGAGGATTAGCTATAACCTATACAGCAAAGAAAAATAAGAAAAACAATATAAAAAGACTTTGGGAGGAAGAATATACAGTAAAAGACTTGAAACAGAGCTACAAAAAGAACCACAAAAGGTACGCTTAAAAAAAATCAAATGGAGATGATTAAGCATGTTAAATGTAATAGAAAAAGATGAACTGGCACAACAAATAAAAAATGCAAAACATTTTTTTTTGAAAATGCTAATAAACCTGGAAGATGGCTAGCTTATAAACTGAAGAAGAAATGGACGAGGAAGGTACACTACAGCAGGGGTCTCCAACCTTGGCAACTTTAAGCCTGGAGGACTTCAACTCCCAGAATGCCCCTGTTGGCTCTGCAAAGCTGGCTAGGGCATTCTGGGAGTTGAAGTCCTCCAGGCTTAAAGTTCCCAAGGTTGGAGACCCCTGCACTACAGTACCAAATGGAAAAGAAAAAAGAAAAAGACTATGAAAAAGGTTAACTCTTAACTCAAAGCATTGTCTTCAAACTTGGCAAGTTTAAGACGGGTGGACTTCAACTCCCAGCACAGCTGGCTGGGGAATTCTGGGAGTTGAAGTCCACCTGTCTTAAAGGGGCCACATTTGAAAAAAAAACAGCAGTCAAAGGAGGTGCAAACATTAAAGATTTTTGTGTTCAGTTTGCGTTATGGGAACACAACTCGAAAATTTAGGCTGCAGAAACTTCGACAGTTCAACGGGCTGATCCCAGGCCCGCAAAGACTTTTCCAGACCGCAAAACCAATATCTGACACAGCAGAAAAGCTGCAAACGCTTTCATACTTAAGCGAGGCCTGCCTGCATCCCCGGGGCCCCAGTTTATATCCCTGATTTTAAGCACCGGGGGAAACAGTCAGCAAATGTATTTTATTGGGCTAGGACCCTTTTTTTGTTCAGAACACGCTGAGCTATTTTTAATATTTGTAAATATCCAGAGCTTTCTTCCCCTCACCCGCCTTCCTTAAAAAATCATGTTTCTACAGCTGCAAAGCCAGCATTCCAGGAATTCTTTTTTCTTTTCTTTTGTGAATTAATGAGGCTGGCCGGCCAACACAGTTGGCAGACGGCCTGCGAACACGGAATAAAAGAGAACAATGGACTAACTCTGGATGCGACTTTTCCAAAGGCAGATTTAACCCACCCTGGCTTTTGCACCCTCTACTCTGAGGTGGTTTTCTAATGTGACTCACACCAAATAAAGTAACAATTGATTTTTGCAATGGGGAAAGAATCCCAGTCAGATTCATACTTTTTTTTTTTGTTTTCTTTAGATGTTCAGACTTTCCCAGCTGGGTGGGGTGCAACCGGACATCGTGAGGCCAATGAGAGAGAAAAATCAAGCATGAAGCCGGGGAGAAGAAGGGAAACCATCTTCCAGAGCTGGGCAGGAGAGGCATGCGATGGTGCAAGCGAACGGCCAGAGATGGGCACAGGCTGGTAGAGAAAAGCCAACCTCCAGCAAGCAGCCACGCCCAGGGTTTGCAGCGATTCAGAGAGAATTCCAGTGTAGTTAAATCACCCAGGGGAGCGGGGGACTGGCATTACTCAGATGCTTTTGCAAGACAGCCTTGCTGACCTCTGACCCTCCAACCCTCCACATGCCAATTCAGAGAAGTCCCAGGAGAAATTTCCTGACAATGAGAAGAACCGTTAATCCGAGGAAGGAGAAGTTGTGGGTGCTCCATCACAGAAGACTTTTAAGGGATCGCACAGCCATTTGTCTGACATACCACAGACAGGGTCTCCTGCCCTCCCAGGGGCTGGACTAGAAGACCTCCAGGGTCCCACCCAACAGCTGAACACGAGGACTCACAATTCCCCATTGGCTGGACCCCATTCATAGAACCACCAATGAACTGAAGCTGAATTTGCCTGAATTTGGGCGGGGAGGGTTGTGAAGTCAGCTGCTTTGCAATGCCACTAACCAGGTTTTAAGTTAACCTGGATTGTCAACCTGGCACCCTAAGTGGATGGAGACCCCTCTCTCATCCTCCTAGCCAGCTCTAGGCCTCTCTAAACCAGTGTGGCTGCTTGATCAGTGAGCCGGGCAGCACATAAATTAAAATACTGTATATAAATAACCTTTTAGGAATGGCGTCTGCTGCTGGAATAGAAGGGGGTTGGGCTACAAGACCTCCCGAGGGCCCTTCCAACCCTGTGGTGCTGTATCCCGCTCTGCCCTGACCTCCTGGGCACTGGGAGGACACCGAAGTGCCTCTTTGGGCTACAAAGGAAAAGATCGCCACCTTTTTTCATTCTGGCTTAAAGCCACCAAGGGTTGAGCAGCAGTGATTCTAGTCCTCAGGATCAGAGTCAAAAAGACCCTCCTTCCTCCCAGCTGCCCCCTCTCCGCCCACCCTGAAACCTGGAAAGCTAAAAACAGTGGTACTAGTCCTCAAGATCAGACTTCTCTTCCCTCCTTGCTGGCGCCCTCCGCATCCGGAAAGCTAAACCAGTGCTTCTAGT